TGGGCCTGGGTCTGATACTAATGGGCTTCAGTTTTTATTTTTAATGAAAAAGGCATAGCCGGCCCAAAAAGTGAAATAAAAAAAGGAACTATAAGTCTGTCTAACCTATGGTGCTGCCGCTAATAATCTAAATAATTTAAGGATTTTTTTTTGTTAAAAATAAAAAGTCTTAAGTTCAATTTAAGTCTTATGGCATACGAATCTTTTTATTGAAAATAAGAGATCTTGAGTTTAATTTGAGTCTCATAGCATACGAATAAGATAGAATAAAGGATAAGAAATGGTTACATTATGCGATCAAAATAAAAAATAAAAAAAAATTATGGGTGCGGTTATTCACACCCAAAAAAAATGTTATGGCCACATAAACTTCAACAGTTAGTTATGGTGTTTGCATATTTCAGCATGTTAATTGCATTCAGTCTCTTGATTAATAAATGTTAATTATTAATTATAGTTCTCAAATGTTTTTAATAGTTAAATAAAAAGACTAATATTAAAAAAAATATATGATTTCAATATTTTTGTAAGTGACAATAATCACACTTCAAATTTATGAGTTTAAATTTATGACTTTAATATTTTACATGACACATGTCTAATTTGTATTTTGTCCATCTCATGATAAGTTATACAACAAATCCAGTAGCATTAAAGAGAATGAGTAGTGAACAAAACAAACAAAAAAAAATTTTTTTTTGAGTGGTAGATTTTCAAGTCAACTTACAAGATAAAAGTGATAAAAGTGTAGTAATACTTATAAAATTAATTAAATATTTTTAATGAATTAATAGTTAAAGTAAGAGAGATTCAGTAAAACCATTCGAATAATTGTTTTTTAGCTTTAAATCTAAGTCTATATATATATATATATATATATTTACATAAAACCTAGAACCATAAGAGTTTGATGTTTCCTTTAAATCTTGCCTTCATTTGTAACAATTTTACACTTAGCTAGTTTGATTTTGCAGGGACTTGTCAGTCTCCGCAATCTCAAATTTAGCTAAATCTGCAAGTTCACTCACAGCATCAACAAGTGCTTCAATCTTTACAGTGATTTCCATCAGCATGGAAGTAAAAGTCATCACAGGAATTATTTCCATCAAGGGAACAACAGTCACCGTTCCTGTTTTCTTCTGTTCAGGGGTTCCAGCTTCCTGAGAATGCAACAAACAAGGAAGAGATCTCAAGTTTTTGTGCAGCTCTTCCACTGTTTTGTTCATTTCCTCAACTAACAAATGCATGGTGGATGACTTCTTCATTGTCTCCATCATTTTCATTGCCTCTCTAATGACACTTGCAGAGCTGGAGCTTAGTTCCAAGCATGTAGAGCTTAGGTGTTTCTTTATGAATTCCGGAACCTGTTTGAAATTGCATAAAAATTGAGACATTCCTTGTATATACCAACAAAAAGGTATTTTTAAATATAGACTGCACCTTTTTTTATGCAATTTAGGTATCAAATTCTCTAAATATACTTAATAAAATTGTCTTTTAAAATTATTTATTAATGATAATTTTATAATTTTAATATTTGAACTGTATTAAAAATAAGTACAATATGTACTGAAAAACATCTTTCTCATTTACTAATTAACCATTGTCACAGCAAAAACTGTTTGTGCCACTCTGTTTACCTTATTGTCTGAATCAAGGCAAGCAATGAGAGCCTCTAGGCAACAAGCACAAGCACGCATTGATGCCCCGATTTTGAGGTAATGTTTCCATGGGTGTCGAAAATTGAAGCGGCCATGAGCAGGCTCCCATCTGGCAAAATTTGCCTGTACATCCAAAAAACAATTCCCCCAATATTGGCAATGTGTCAATTCAGTTCACAGAATACAAGAATACAACATTTCAAAAAGATGGTCTTTTTTATTATTCCACCCACATACCATTGATTCTTCAGCTGCCTTGGAGCTTAGCACGCACTTATACCCTAACAATTTTCTTTTATGTGCTTCCTCGTCGTCAGTTTTAGTTCTTTCCCCACTATCAATAAAGTACTCTTCTACACAACCTGAAATTATGGGCGGGAGCAACAGTTTTCTTAATCAAAATGAAAGTAATCTATGTAGTGTAAGCTTACAAAGCATGAGCACTAACCGTTCAATGAATTGGCAAGTTTTTCCATGTTACGAGTAATGAGGCTATGGAGCTCCTGGCCCGCCCAGATGGGGCAAATGAGCATGATTATTAGAATGCACAAGGAAGTCCCAATGACGATGGTGGAAATTCTTTGGTTAGCAACGTCAAACAGTCTGTCCACTTGGTAACCTGAAATTGCGATCAAGCTGAAGGTGAGGATGAAGATTGTGGCTCCATAATCGAACCGTGTTTTCACTGTTGGGATGAATCTTGAGAAGGTTGCCGCAGAAGCTGGTGAAAAAGATGAATGGTATAAACATTAAGTCATGCAATTTGATTCAACCAAATACCAAATTGCAAGAATATTACAAACCTAACACAAAAACTGAGGCTCCAATTATTAGTGGCTGAAACTTCTGTGAATGACAGGCAACCCAGTTGACACCAAGAGCAAGGAATCCAGCGAGGAAAGTCCCAAAAACTCTGTTTAGACATTTGCATATTGTGGCACCTGCCATTGCATTTAGATTTTTTTTCTCACTGTCCAAAGATTATAACCTTATGGAATGAAAGAGATTAATAATGTCTGAATTTTGGATGCTTACCAACTGTTTGTTCAAACACCACAACAACAGTCATTACTGCCCACATAGCATTCCCTCCAACACCTTCATTCAAAGGCCTCATGAAGTAAAAAAGGGAGACAACAGTGAGGGCAAGTCCCACTTTAAGGCAGTGGATAACTTTTCTAGGATCATCTGCTCCCAACTTCCATGCTGTCTTCAAATAACTCCATACTTTCAAAAACAATCCAGAAACTATCCCCGTTACTCCAAGCCAAGCTTTCCCTAAACATGTTGTTGCTTTTGGAGCCAAAACCTCAGATGATCCATCATTGACCTTTATCCTCCATTCCAGTCCATCTGATGCTGCCTTGTCATTAACCATCTTGGACTTTGGTTGAGAAAATTGCTGGTTTTGTTGGGGATAGATTGATAGTAGAGAAAGGAAACTAAAAGTTTGGTGATATTTATGTTGACTTAAGGAATCAAACTCTATTGCCATGCAATGGAAAGGTTGAGGCTTCGATGGTCTGATGCTGTTGATGAGTGACTATTGAAGTGAATTTATAAAGGGGGATCTTTCTATTGTGTATAATGCCGCAAAATTCTTTTAAGTATAAAAGAAAATTCAAGTGCATTTTTTGGATTCTCCAAAGCACCATTCTTCTTTTTAGGTAGGTAATAAGGTTAACCCAAGCACATCGATATAACAATATCAAAGGTAATATGACGTTGAGTCACCTCCTATAACCTGCAACTTTGTGATCGTATCTAACAAAGCATTGGCATCCAAGTTCATAGGCTATTTGGTAAAAGGTGCGCCTCCTAGAATGAGGTTCAAACCCATTCTCTTACCTCAAAATTTGTGTTTGTTCAAAAAAATAGTATCTAACAAAGCATTTGGTTACATGAAAGACAATCAATTTAAATGTGGACGTCAATGTAAAAGAGTATTAAGATGCTCAAGCATGAAATTGAACTTAATTTGAACTTTTAACTTTAATTTTTATTAGTTTAGTATAGTTTAAGATCTAATATCTCAAATGATAATACATACCTTATTAAAATATAATTACAATTTCTTTTTTGATAATCATGTTCCTAAATTATTTTTGAAGACTCATAACAAAACATAGGTTTTTTCCTTCTCTTTTGCCAACAAAACAAAACAAAGATAATCTTGGCTGAACTCAAGAAGCCCACATGAAAGAAGACTGGATTTTTTTTTCCTCCTTTCTTTTTCTAACATAGGGAATTTCGGAAAGGCAATTACAAGTACAAGGGGGGATTCGAACCCCATATCCAAGGTGAGAAGATGTCCTTTTACAATAGAACGGGTGGCACTTGGGCACTAGATTTAATATTACTTATATATATTGTTTGCCGTTTAAAAAAAATGTTAATTAACACTTGATTCTTACGTTGTAATAATTATAAATCAACTCATAAGGTACATCTCAAGTTGGATTTCGGATCCTCAAATCCCCCACCTTCGGTTTGTAACTTCAAAAAAAAAAAAAAAGTTAATTATATATATTGAATTGATTGATTTTTGTCTGTGTCTTCAACTATTTTCCTTTTTTCCAATAGTGGATTTCTGATCTAAACCAGCGCTCTCTTAGATAAGAAAATTAGGAAACAGCACCATCTTCAGATAATAATTTAATAAAAAGGGACGTTTTCTGCGGTCTTTTGATGTCATTATCTCACTTGTATACAACTTGATCAAAGCAGCCTTCGTTTCTCCTACAACTTTCTGTGTCTCTATGTATGCTGTTAAATTAAAAACAGTTAGAAGAAAGACAGGCTATATATCATTTTTTTTTTTTCAAAAGTAACAGTTATTCTGAATGTGTCAAATTTGAAACTTGAATTTCATATCATTATATAAACGTTATCACTTTACTTCTCAAAGAAAAACATGACTATTTAAAT